ATCAACAGGTGTTCTTTGATGAGGTGGAGGTGCCCAGCCGCCTGCCCCGCCAAAAGATGCCCATCAAGTGAAGGTTCAGCGGGTGTAAAGCGCCTGGGCTCGTGCATGGGCCTGTTTTGTACATTTGGAGGTTGTTTTGGATTGGTCTCAGCACCTGCAGCCATGCTTTTCTGCATTGTCATGCGCTTGCAACAGGTGCGCAGCCATGCTCGCTTGAAGGCACTGCTGGCACCTTTTCTCCTCCCTACGTGTAAGAAGAGGTTGATTGCCATGTATCATCAACTTTAACGATGAAACATTCAAATGCATGACCAGGGACACAGGGGACAGCATGCAAAAGCGAGTCATAACACCAGCTGATGTGTTAGGGCCAGGGCGGCATTCCATGTCCCTCCGCCCAGATGCTGAATGATTTTGGAATGACGGCCTGTTGTTCGTGTCCGCTGTTGCCCCCCCTGGGTCAACGGCAGGGGCTGCAAACCCTGCGCGTTGATGATTCACAGGGACCGAGGGAGCACGGGCGGCTGCCTTTGGGGCGCTGGTAATTAAGAGAGCACTGCCACTGCATTGGTTGCGGGTGGCCATCAACATTATAAGGTAGCCTTGCTCTTGCATCAAGGCTTCCGACATGCTGCGAGGTGACCCCGGGCGCCCACCCTGCATATTTGTTTCTTGCATCCACAGCATATCATCAAAGAGGAGGTGCTTCACGACTGCTGCAATAGTATCAGACCAGCTTATGTGGTTGCGTGCGTTTCTTGAAAAGATTAAAGGGGCAGGACACTTGTCAATGCCACAAGTGACATGTAGTACGTGGGGCAAGGGGTAGCGGAAGGGCCGACTGTTCTGTGTGATAAGCTACTATTTGCCACACTGCTGCATCACGCGTTGGGGCAGTGCGATGCTTTGAATGCAGTCCATGCCCCGGCCTTTGAAATGAGTGAAAACTCCACGCAGAGGTATCCACTGCAACCCCAGTGGTTCCGCTCCTTGTGGAAAATCATGAGGCCGCACTTGTCCGCCCCCTCAAAGAAACCCTGGATCGGAACAAATGTGGAATGGCTGTGGAGCTCTATCTGCAGCTGGCCAATTTTGACCTTGCCAGCAGCACACTCGTCAAAAATGGATTTGAACGCTTCAAACTCACACCCTTCGCAGTCAACCTTGAGGATATTCAGCAATCGGTCCGTATGGCCAAGTGAAGATGTGATGTTGGAAAGAGGCTTCACCACCCCTCGCGAGAAGGGTTTCTCAATCGGCCCCAACCCCACAGCGTGTACTTTGAAATTGAATTGCTTAGACACAGACTCCATCGCCGCCACATCAATTGTGGGGTCAAATGTATGAATCTCACACTTTGTCCTGGTGCGTACGTCCTGCTCAAATGTCGAATCCAGGTTGCTGCCGACCGAGTACACCAGGCAATTTGGGTCGGCAGCCATGGTGCCAATCCCGCAGACAAACTTGCCACCGTCGCCAAAGTCTCTGCCAATGCGGTCCTCGACTTCGCAGTTCCTGCACAAGAACGAAGATGTATCAGCAAGGATCAGGAGCATGCACTGCAAAGCAACCGCCTCCAGATAGACTCGCACCACTCAGGCTCAAAGACATCGTAGTAGGTGACCTTGCTCGCTGGGGCTGGCTGCTTCTGCAGGTAGTCGAGACGCTTTGCTTTGCGCTGCTGCCACCGCTGCAGCGAGGCCTCAAACAGGGCTTCACACTCCTTGGTGGCGTTGGGCACGCTGTCAGTTCCGGCTGCGGCTGGCCGGTGCGCTACTGCCGTAACGATGACACGCGGTTCGTTGTCCTCGCCAGACGATACCTGTGTGTGCAAATTTTACTCCGATGTTACTCGTCCATTCAGTCAAAGGCAAAGGTACTGATGCTTGAGGACAGAACGAACGCAAGCATGATGGTGACCGGAGAACACACCTTGTACAGCACCACCCCCAGGAAAAGTGCGCAGACCATCGCAGTCACCGCCTGGGTGCGGCTTGCGGACTGAGAGGCAGGAGTGGACGCCATTGTGGCCAAACGAGCCAACCAATCGCGTGTGGTCGACCGCAGATCAACGAACCCAGTCTACAAGACGCGCGTGCTGGGAGGACACAAATTATGTGTAGAAATATGCAAGCTGCATGCTCCTTCCGCATGATATGATAAAGCTTCAGCCATCAAGGGACTGTGAAACTACGTCGGAAGCTCATCTCCCTAGCACGAAATTCGTTTGGTCACGTTTAGGAGACAGTAGAGTCGAATCGCTTGACGACATCATTACTCGCATAGCACACTAACGGCTGGCAGCCATGCTAGCAGCAGTCTGTGAGACCGTGTCACTGCACCGCACGGTGGTCCTGCAATAATGCAAAGCAGCAGTGTGCGCAACAGGTGCTGCAGTGTGAATAGCAGCAACCAACGCAGAGCGGCTGCGTGAACCACAAAACCACCAATCCACATCCTATTGATGGAGGACCTTGATCGCTGTTTGTCGCAATCAGAATGTGTCAGTCTGAAGGGTCCCTTGGATCCATTCGAGCCACAAGACTGCAGGTCAAGGGCCACAGATCTTGCAAGCACCACCGTAACATCATTGCAAGTTGCCAGTGACCAGAAGCACACTACTAGTCAACTCATTACTAGTGAGTTGACTAATATCTAGTAGCAGGAGTTACCAGCGAACCCAAAAAAGGATGGTACGGTAGTGGGTGCTGGGTCGAAAGCATCCTGTCTATCAAAAGAACCCTTGCAAAACACTCTTCCACCACCAAGCATTGGAATCGTGTTCGCTCAATTTACAGCTGGTAGGTGTGCAGATGTTGCACGTATGAACGCAAGCTCGGTGATGATTTTGTGAACTGCACATTGAATTAACGCTCTGCGCGGGTGACAGAAGACTTGCCTCTAGGCAATTGGGTCCTAGCTCACAAACATCTCTCGCAATCCAAAACGCAAACACCAAGAGGTCCAGGAGCAACACGATTGTTCGTACTGAGGAGGGCATTCAGGCCTGGAACCCTTGCCATCAAGGCAGGTAATCAGAGCACAGAGATGTCATGATAAATCTGGCCAAAACCGGGCCCACAGGATACTTGTAGTGTGCTCCATCATAAGATGAATCCCACAGCTGAAAAACGAGGTCGAAGGATGAGATCCTCTTGAGGCGGGGGAACATGCGCATACTCAGTGTGACAAGATCGTTCAACATGACGACTTTGTGTGGAAAACGCAAGTCGCTCGGGGGACATCGGTAAGGCATTGGGGGCATGGGGTTTGTGTCAACCCAATACACATTCGAAGAGAGAGCACTCAGATTGCCAAACAACAACTCAATTTCTTCTAAATACCTATGATAAGGCCATGGCTTTGGTGGCACGTAGGACAGTGGCCATTGGCCAAAGTTGATTGCTACGTGTGTGCACCCAAGCGAGGTGACATTGGCAGACAGGTTGGCCCACTCGTGCCCGTAATGTAAAGGGAAAAAATGCACGCGAGCGGCAGGGTTGAAGCATTCGCTTGAGTGTTTATTGCAATTCACAACTTGACCACTCAGCGCCTCCACAATGTGGACGTAGTTGTGCCTCATTTGCGAGTCCCCAAGGAGGCATGTCGTCCTGTTGGACATGCACGCGGTTGTTTTGTCGAAAGGGAGAAAAGGAAAATTGAATGTAAGCCCTGCATAATTGCTTGCAAGTGCAGCTGCATCACGTGGCCCAGTTACTAACTGGCCATGCACTGCGCTGCTCCTGCTCGTGGCATTGGTTGCATTACCAACGAGCACTGGCGGCCCGGTCCACTCCCAGAGGCCCACAGAGCTGGGGCTGACGTGCTGCTGCGGAACGGTAAATGTGTAATTTATAGGGGGCATCTGCGACAAGCAGTTGGTGATGTTGTCAAGCTCGCCGTTGACCAGGAACCGGATGAACGCCTGGTGCTCGCCCGGGGCATTTGTACGATAGTCCAGATGGTGCTCGATACCACTCTCCGTCCGGCGAGACAGGGATGTGAATACAAGGCTAGGCCCGACCAGTCGCAGAGTGAAGACAGCATATCTTGTGACATTTGAGAGGATTCGAAAGCGCCCCACTGACGGGCAGTGCCACAACTGCCAGTCTGCCAGTTCAGTCACGTTGTGGAACTTCACGCACTCAGCTGGGCGTTCATCCAGAGTGGTGGCTGCTGGAGGCCGCAACGCTGTGATAGAGCAGCCGATGCGCACATTCTGTTGCGAGCTGTGTTCTGCACCGAGCGAGTACAGGAGAAGGGCCAAGCTGGCTGCGAAACACCCTACGATAAGTTGAGATTGACCACTCCAGCGCTGCGTGCTTGCGCTGCTTGAGCTGACATCGGCCCTGCCCATCGTTGCGGGCTATACACCGTAGCTGAGGTCCCCTGAGACGCCGAATGAGAGTTGTCACTGACACAGGATGCCTGGTGGCTGCGAAGAGAAAGCACCGGCGGCACCCGACCTTGTGATTCAACAATTAATCAGACTTGTTGATGCTCACTGTTTGTTACTGACTTTTTGGATGAACTCCGTCGTAGCATGCATGCAGTGACGAGAGATCGAGTGCTGGTAGCTCTGGCCTGCAGTGGTGACCACCGTAGACACCGCACACGGCGGATGTGGCAAGCAGCAATGCGCTCAAGTGCTCACCCGTTACACAGTTACAGCGTGTCTTTCACACCTCAAGGCAGACGTCGGGACGGCTCGACGAACTTCAACTTGAAGGCCTTTACTCGAAGGGCCTGAGTTGTAGTAGTGAGCTCCGTAATGTACGTGTTTGTGCTCGATGTTTGGATTGTGCTGGCTCATCTTGAGAGAGAGAGAGAGAGAGAGACTACGCTGACGCCTCGCGCGGCTAGAAGCCACGCTGCAAGCGGCGTT